AGCTAATAATATTAAAAGGACGGGGTAGGGGGGGGGATAAACCAGCTAATAATATTAAAAGGTGGGAAGGGTCATTAAAAGCTCCAAAAAGCTAAGAAGCCTAAATAGAACGGAAGGGGGATATAATTAGAATGGAGAGAGGAGGTGGTTACAAAACTGTGGGGTTGAAGGCTACAAATATATCCTGAAGAAGAAAGGAGTACAAATAAAAGATATAAATGAATCTCATTAGAAGCGAGGGTAGGGACGGATAAGGGAGGAATTATTCTACAAGATATTTTATTCTAATTTCAAGCAAATTTCATTAAAACTTTACCAGAGGGAATTAAATGGAAGACTCAGGATAAAAATTTATCTTCTGGATTATGCAGATCTTTTAATTAAGAATATAATTTAATATTTAGGAATATGTATTAAAGGATATGTGAGCGTGAAGAGCCAGTCGATCCATTGCTACTCATAGCGTATTATTGAAACTTTACAATCTTTGCATTTCTGCATTAAACCTGTCCCTGCTCCCTACTCAGGCTCTAACCTGGAGAGACGATGTAACCCTGCTCTCCCTCCCAACTAAAACATTAACTGCAAACATGTGTGCACCCCCTTGCATTTTACTCCCTNAGAGAGAAGGAGAAATGTAATCCAAGGGAGAAGGAGAAATCCACAATTTATTATTTTTACCCTTACATCTACAACAAAATATCCTTTGTTTTAAGTCTTGCTACTGCTGTTAAATGGGGTAATTTGGCTGAAAAAGGATCAAAATTTGCATTCTATAAGATAGCTGTAATCTTAAAGATTAAAGAACAGAACAGATGGGTTGTATCCAGGTTCAATCCTACACTGGTCTAGGTTCTAGGACTACCTAGAGTAACCTACCAGCTGATTCTATTATTAATTAGATTTGTATTAATAAGAGAATACAATTATAATTTACATTAACAATATGTTACTGTCTGAGATACCAAATTAGGAGTAGAAAAAAACACTATGCTCTTAGGGCGCTTCGTCCCCACCTCGCAGTAAAGATTTTAAATTTATTTTTGCGCTGTAGCCAAGGGCCATGCCAGGTCTCACACAAAATTTGGGTTCAACATCGTCAATGATTGTTGGAAACAAAGAAACTAAGAGAAATATTGATTTGCCAACACGGCTTATTAGGTACATTTTAGGTAGTGTAGCAAACAAGAGAGGCTCGCTGTTTATAAATATAACTCCCCCCCCCAGTGAGCGGGGTTGCATTTCCTCCTTTTCCTTATAAGGCGTGGCGTTTGGTGTTTGGTGGGCGTGGTTTTGAGAACCCGCCCACACTAGAATATTAAACTAGAACTGATGCAACTCCCACTGTGAGCTAAATTATGTGCATTCTGATAGAAAATAGGATTTTACAAAATACTCTTTGGAAACTAAATCTAGAAGCACGCGCTTTAAACCCTTTTAATCTTCATATCCAGGGCTTCAAAAAGTATGATTGTGATAGTTTGATCAAATCAGGAGGAAAGGCATGGCGACACTTTAAAGTCGGTGTGGTCTCAATATTTGATGCATAATTTTCATAAATGTTTAGATCGTAGTGATCGTTCTGTCAGGGATCAGAGATTTTGCAATCACACCCTGACTGCAGTCTACGAAATGGGGGGGGGAGGAGGGGGGAGGGGAGGTTTTAAAGTTATGTAAGAAAAGAAAAAGTATTGGTATAGATTGGGTGCATATAGGGGTAGGGTGTGCGAATGTCAAAAACCGTTTAAGAGTTAAGAGAGAAAAAATTTTGTTTTAAAGGAATTTTAACTGTTTCAAGAACCCTGAATTTAAAAAGGTGGCATGCATGATTCACAACGGTATCCTTTCAACCTTTGTCTGTTCAAGGATAATTGCAGAGATAAAGAAGGAAGTTGAAAGAATTTATCCGTCTCTTGGCTACTTAGAGGTTTGAATTTTAACGTCAGACATGATAAACTTTTAAATGGAGGGTTACTTGAATTACGTTCACAGTCCCTTTAAGTTCACCATAATTTTCTTTTTACTTTAACATCCTGT